AATAGCAGAAAGACTAAGCTAAAGTTAAAAAAAAAAGAAGAAACCTGAATAAATCTAAAGAAAGGCTATGAGTAGAAACAAATAAAACAAATGACTTTCCTGATAGCTCAGACAGTAAAGAATCTGCCTGCAATGCAGGAGACCCAGGTTCTATCCCTGGGTCAGGAAGATCCCCTGGAGAGGGGAATGGCAACCCACTCCAGTATTCTTGCCTTGAGAAGTCCATGGACTGAGGAGCCTGGTGGGCTACAGTCCATGGCATCCCAAAGAGTTGGACATAACTGAGTGACTAACACAGAAACAAATGAAACAAGATAAGCTTATTCTTTGAAAAGACAAAATGACAAACCTTCTGCTAAGATGATTTATTTTGCCTTCTCCTTGTCGTCATCAAGGTTAAGAATTTTCAAAAGGGTACGAAAAAGACAACAAGGATATCAAGAAACTTCTGGCCCACATATTTGAAAACCTAACTAAAGTGGACAATTACTGGAATGATAACAAAATTGACTCAAGAAGAGATAGACCAACACAATTCTGTAAAGCAATTATTCGTCAATTAAAAACAAATAAATTTGAAATTAAAAAAAGAAGAAATAGAAAAACCATTAAAGAAATAGAAAGTGAAGTTGCTCTTAGCACATGGAAAAAATTCAAGGGCCACAGTTTTATTGATTTGTTTTAACCATGGAACAAATGCTTCTGGTTTTACTCAATACTATTCCAAACTGCAGAAAGAGTGGACACTTCCAACTTATTTATGAGACTCATAAGAGCCTGAAAGTGAAACCTAAAAAGATAGTTTGAAAGAAAAATTACAGTTAGTCTCTTTGGTGGGCATATGGTGGTGTGGTGTGGGTGCGTGCTCAGTTGTGTTCAACTTTTTGCAACCCCATGGACTGTGGCCCACTAGGCTCCTCTTTCCATAGAATTTCCCAAGCAAGAATACTGGAGTGGGTTACCATTACCTACCCCAGGGAATCTTCTCCACCCAGGGATTAAACCAATGTCTCTTAAGTCTCCTGCCTTGGCAGGCATGTTCTTTACCTCTAGGACCACCTGGGAAGCCTTTAGTGAAAACATAGATGGAAAAATTCTACAGAATATCTTAGTCAGTTGAATACAGAAACTTATAATAGTGACTATGACATGGATTTATCACAGGGGTGCAAATGTACTTTATCATAGGAAGATACAATGATATAAGTAATTACATTATCAGATTACAAGGGGAAGTAATCATCTCATAGTGAAAACGTATTAGAAAAAACTGTGATTTTTAATCAATAAAAGGAACTGTCTTTAAACTGATAAAAGTATCCATGGAAAACCTGTATCCTAGTTAATGGTGAAATATTAGAAGCATTTTGCTTAGGATAAGGAATAAGTCAAGGGTATCCAATATCACCATGTCTGTTCAACATTGCCCTAGCCAATGAAATAAATGGTTTAAGACAAGAAAGAGAATAAAAAGTATAAAGTTTAGAAATGAAGAAACAAAATTTTCATTATTTGGAGGTGATAAGATTATCTACCTGATGGAATAATTATTAGAATTAATCATAGTTTAGAAAAGTTGTGTGTGTGTCCTCAGTCACACAGTAGTGCCGGAATCTTCCTGGCCCCATGGACTGTAACACGCCAGGCTCTTCTGCCCATGGAATTCTCCAGCAAGAATACTGGAGTGGGTTGCTATGCCCTCCTCTAGGGGATCTTCCTAACCCAGGGATCATACCTTTGTCTCTTGCACCTCCTGGATTGGCAAGCAGATTCTTTATCACTAATGCCACCTAGGAAGTCCTTAGGTACAAAATCAGTTTACAAAGATCAACTATCTTTTCAAATACATCACAAACTGAAAATATATCTTAATTTTGAAAAGCATCAAACAATATAAAATAGAAATAAACCTAACAAATAGGTAAGATCTCTATGGGAAAGTTAGAAAACTTTATAAATTAAAATGTTGAAACTTAAATATAGAAGGGGGGATCAGGATGGGGAACACATGTAAATCCATGGATGATTCATGTCAATGTATGGCAAAAACCACTACAATATTGTAAAGTAATTAGCCTCCAACTAATAAAAATAAATGGAAAAAAAATAATGAATGTATTGCTAATGAACCCAAGAAAATAGAAACTTTGTATCCAAAAAAAAAAAAAAAAAACCAGGTAAAGGAGAAAATTTCATTTGTATCCTACTATATTCGTTCTCTCATTGATGATGTAATTTCTTTAGACAAAGTCTTTTAAATCTTCAACTTCTTGGATAAAAAGAGATAATAATTAAAAAAACTATCTCTCAACCGAATCACTTTGCTGTACTGCAGAAATTAACACAACATTGTAAGTCAACTATACTTCAATTTTTAAAATTTTAATAAAAATTTAAAAAAAATTTGAAAAAAAAACTTAAATATAATTAAAAATTTTGTTTCCTAGTTACTCTAATCTCATTTTAAGTGCTTAACAGTCACATATGACTAGTGGCTACAATATTGGGCCTTATGATTATAAAAAACTAAGCAAGTTTAGCAAGTTTTAATAGTTTGTTGCAGAGAGAAGGATGATGTAGTGCTCAATATGACTTTCAAGCCTAAGAAATATACTATATATAATTATATTTAGTTAGAATTCTGTGAGGAAAAAGGACAATAAACATGTTCTGAACAATTACATGTGTTTTTCTTTAAAGAATGATGTGTATGTGCATGAGTGCTTAGTCATGTCCAACTCTTTGCAGCCCCCAAGGACTGTATCTTGCCAGGCACCTCTGTTCATAGAATTATCTAGGCAAGAATTGTCTGGAGGGTTTTGCTATTTCCTCCTCCAGGGGATCTTCCACATTCACAGATCGAACCCCTGCCTCTTGTGTCGCCTGCGTTAGCAGGCAGATTCTTTACCACTGAGCCACCTGGAAAGCTTTAAAGAATGATGGTGAATATTTAATCACTATAGTATTTTAGATCCCTTTGTATGTATTTGAAACAGTGACCAATGTTAAAGCATTGGATATTATATACTTTGGAACTCTTTAAGTTGTATGTTAATATAAAGTGCAAGAATGTACATAGTTCCTGAAAATTATTTGTGGAAACACACGGGCATAGTTTGAAGACAACTATCTTAAGAGTTACTATGAATTTTTCTTCAATGCATATACACACACACACACACACACATATATATATAAACTTATCTTTCACAAAATAAAAGCAAATATTGAATTATTACCCAAGTTTGATGCTTTTATAAAAATGATTTATTACTGTTGGTATAGTGTAGATTTTAAAATCATTAATTACTTTTGTATATTGTGTATCCCTGGATTGCTCCAGGGTCCTATCAAGGTCCCAAAACCAAAAGCTATTAAAAATAATTCAGATTTATTCATGTTTCTCAAGGGAGATTAATGAAGACCAGGCTTATAACTACAGCAACCCTTCTTTAAATATCCTTTTGTTTTCACCTTATACCCATGAGCTTTCGAGTCACAGTCACAAACTCTCCGTCTTCACTCTCCTCCACAGCTCTCGAACACACCTCTCGAGGCAGAAACTTCTCTGTCCCCCTTCCCTTGGGTGTGTGTGCTCAGCTTGCAACTCCATGGACTGTAACTTGCCAGGCTCTTCTGTCCATGGAATATTCCTTGTGCCCCTCCACATTTCTTCCCCACAGGAAATGGAAGTCAAAACTTCTGTTCTTGATCACCTGCTATAGGACTCTAGAAAATGGCTGGAGGACATAGGGGCTTTTTGCCTGTTTCTCAGTAATTCTTTACAGAATAGAGTGCTCTGAAAAATGTGGTTGTTTTCACAGTCTGGCTTGTTTTCTTGAAAAATCCTCATGGAGAGTTCTTTAAGAATAAATGTTCAACTTTATTATTGGACTGAAATTTTCTTGGTTATGCTGTAGAATCATTAAATACAATGATGTAATATATTGCCCTTAGGAAGGGCATTCACACTTAGTATGAGACTGAGGGAGGGCATTGCATATATATGTCACGTTATTATTATATGTCCTCATAAGCGAATAAACTTGCCTTCTTGATGTATGTATTTATCTTATGATTCTGGTTAAAATGTCTCATTCTGAGAGACAAATCTGTCCTGAGTCTGTAAACAAAATCCAGTTTCTGATCCTGAGGGGTTGTGGTTCAAACATATGCTGGGAGAAATTTACTCTGTGAGGTCTGTAGTCTTGTTCCCTTAACCCCTGTGATAAACCCAGACATACCCATCTAGCTGAAAAAGTGCTTCTAAATAGTATTATCTGTAGAGTTGTGCATTTTGCTTTTCTCATGTACCATTGCATCTTGAGCATTTTCCTATAACATTGAATATCTTTGAGAACACAATTTTAATGGGTGTTTAATTTTCCAGAATATAGATATGTCTTTATTTATTTAACCAATTTTTCTGCTTTGGAAATCTGGGTTGTTTCTAATTTATTTGCCATAATTATAAAAAGAGATGCAATGAATATCCTTATACTTAAAAGGTTTTTTTTATACATTTCTGTTATTTCTTTAATTCCTAGGACCGGAAATATTAGAATCGAACTGGATGAATACTGTGGTCAACTTCACATTGTTTCCAATACCCATTCCCCCTTCTTCTAAAATAATAGAGTATTAGCTGAGTAAAAGGCTGCTTGGCTAAAGATATTTCCCAGTCAGCCTCATAGCTAGATGTGGCTGTATGACTAAGTTCTGGCTGATGGGATTTGAGTTTAGTGATGAAGGCCCATGAAAGAATTGTGCTTCCAGGACTTTCCTGGTGGTCCAGTGGCTAAGATTCCACATGTCCAATGCAGGGGGCTCAAGTCTGATACCTGGTTAGGGAACTAGATCCCACATACTGCAGTTAAGATTTCCTATGCTGCAACTAAAGATCCTGCATGCCTCAATTAAGACCTAGTCCAGCCAAATAAATGAATAAATGTTAAGAAAGAAAGAAAGATTTGTGCTTCACTTTCCTGGTCTTTCTCCAGCTCTTCACCTGCTAGAAGATGAAAGACACTGAAGCAGCCAAATTGAACCCACAAGTGGAAGTCATGTGTTGAAGACAGCAGCAGGGCCGGCTACAGTTTGTGGGGCCCAATGAAAAATGAAACTTCAGGTCTTCTTGTTCAAAAAAACAAAAGGCGGGGGGATTGCCATTAAATGTAGTAAAATTTATAGTTTTCTTGTCTTTCCATGTTCTTTCTTCCAGCATTTTTTTTTGCTATTTAGTTTTCTGCTAAATAAACTTAAAACTTAGATCATCAACATGAATTTTACCATTCATTATATTGTGCAATGTCCATTTATAAATGCAAATATAAGAACATTTAACTCATGTGCAGAATCACCAAAATTACATGATTTGCATTTTGTAATTCATGCAAGCATATATATCTCATTCTTAACAGAAGAGTATAAATGCTGCACAAAACTAATTTAAATGTTTTTGTTTCACTTCTTCATACATATTCTATCAACACTCTATCTTTAGGTAAGCTATCATTTTCAAGGTAAGTGACTTGTTAATACAGGGAAGTAACGCAATTATGGAAAGATGTGATGAGGTTCCTTGTTGTTTGTGTTTCTTAGAGTATCATTGTCTTCTTTCTGGATTAGTAGTAAGTTCTAGTTTAAATGGAAAGCATGTCCTCCCAGGACTCCCAGGGCTGTCAGTCCCCTTCCTCACCTCCTTTCTTAGTCATCAGCATAACATACTTGTACTCACTGAGTTTCTCTGAACTCCCATGCACTGTGGGCCCACTGGAATTCTGGGTTCATGGAGCACTGCCAACATGACATGCAAATAGAGTGCAGGAATGGCAGACACGGATTGTGTATTCCTCTGCTCACTTGCATGTTCCACTGTTCCCCTGGACTTCACTTTTAAAACACAAGTTCAAAGATAAAATGAGTAAGACTTTCAAGATGGTAACAGCAGCCCATTAAACCAAGCTCTGGGCCCTTCTGAGCATGGGGCTCTGTGGAACTGCACAGATCAAATTGTCCTTAAGCTAGACCTGGACTGCCCACCTGCTGGATGTTGAGACTGAAGCACACTTCTACCCAGTTTAAGCTGTTGCATTTTGGGATCTCTTTGTTACACCTTGTACCCTGACTCATGCAAACACTTTTAGTTCTCAAAAATATCCCTTCCTACAATCTGGGGACTATGTGCTATAATGAGTACTCTAAGTCATGCTTTTAATGTTTTTGAAACTGGATGAATCTTATAATAAGCGTACTTTTAATATATTTATTTTACTTTTCCCCCATAAAAACATCATTAAAAGCTAGAGATTTAGTGTTTTATAATTGAGGACATCTTCAAATCAAAGAGAGAGTATATGCATGTAACTCATTAATAGAACTTTAGATTCATAAAATATTTTAGCATTAAAGATCAGATGATCCAGAAGATTCTAAAGACAGTTTTTTCCCTTAAACTGGTCATTTTTTGAAATAACTCTTTAGAGAGACTATATATAGTTGTTGTTCAGTTGCTAAGTTGTGTTTGACCCTTTGCAACCCTATGGACTGCATCACACCAGGCTCCCCTGTCCTTCATTCTCTCCTGGAGTTTGTTCAAATCCATGTCCACTGAAACTATATATAGACAGATAAAAGTGCAGTGGAATGATAGGCAACCCAGAACATCCACCCTCCTCTCTGCTGACCTACAGTAAAAGGAACCTCTAGAGAGTAGTCTGAAACACAATGAAAAGACACCAAGCCAATCCTTTCATCTTTCGCTGGTACAAAGCACTAAGCAAATCTTCTAAAAATAATGACTTTATTGAGATATAATTGACTTATAATAAACTTCACATTTGTAAAGTATTACAGTTGATGTCTTGACATATGATTACACCCATATGTTTTCACACATATGAAAACATCACTGCAATCAAGATATTGAATGTATGTTTACATTACCCCTGAAAGTTAATTTTTAAAATTTTATAAGCCCCACCCCATCTCCAGGCAAAACTTATTTGCTTCCTGTCACTATTGAGATTAATTTGCATTTTCTAAAGTTTTACATAAATGGCATCATTCAATATCTACCAATTTTTTTTTTTGGTCTAGCTTCTTTCTTTCAGCATAATTATTTCAAAATTCATCCATATTCATCCTTTTCATTGCTGAATAGTATTCCATGTGCTGCTGATGGACATCTGAGTGGCTTCCGGCTTTTAACTACTGCAAAATAAAGCTTTATAAATATTCATGTATAAGTCTTAAAGTAAATGTATGTTTTTCATTTTTATTGGAATAAATACCTAGGAGTGGAATGGCTAGATCTGATCAAATAGTATGTATATATAACTTTTTAGGAAACTTCCCACTTGTTTTTCAAAATGACTATAGCATTTTATATTCCCAACATGAGTACATGAGAGGCTAGTTGCTCTGTGTCTTCACCAACACTTGGTATAATTATTAAAAAATTTTTTAGCTATTCTATTGGGTGTGTGACAGTATCTCATTGTAGTTTTAATTTGTATTTATCCAATGACTAATAATGTTGAGCATCTTTGTTGTGTTTGCCATCTTCTGTGGTGGGAGTACCTGTACCACCACTTATAAGTCTTTCAACTGTTTCAGTTTTTGTTTTTTTTTTTCCTTGTAAACTTATACTCCTTATAAAGTTTCTGCCATAATGAGAATGCTTTGAGGCAGTTTACACTCTGTCTATTCTAAAATTTTGTTGATAAAACTATTAAACAGCACTATTAGTTAGAAACAAAGAAGATCTGTGTTAATAGAGAACTATCCAAATGGGCTGATATTTATGGCATCCACAGAGATGATTCATACTTATGCAAGCTGGCAGAAGTGAAAGTGAGTGGGGGAAATGATGGCATAGAATTGGGAGAGAGTGGGAAAGGCTGAGAGGAATAGGCTAGACAGGGCAAGACTGATTTTGCTCCATCCAAAGTCTCTACTCCCACATGTGCCCCAAACTATTTATATCATGGTCAGCTCTTTGCAGTCCTTCCCCCTGCCTCCCAATTTTTTTTTCATTATTATGGATGAACCTTTGTTCCTTTATAGCAAATATGTTAAGGAGATGGGAACCCTAGTTCAGCAGGGGAAACTAGCTACAGGCTATCCTTTGTGGTAAGGCTGCCAAGAATTTTCAACAGTGGGCCACTTGATCAGAAACCCATGTGTAAGCAAAATAAAGCTTATCCATATGTCAGTGTTAACATATAGCAAGTTTTGTATTTAAAAAAAAAAAATGACTTCATACAAAAGCACAGTGATAAGCCCAGAGTTTGAACTTGTCTCTCTAGCAAGCAGGTAGGGTGAGAACACTGACCTAGACTACAGTCCTGGATAGTTTGTAACGGAGCGTAGTGGGTGTGACTAGGGGTAAAGGACCGAAGGACCCGGGCAGAGGTGGAAGTGAAGATAACAATCACGGTGAACAGGAGAGAAGGGCTAGTCACGTAAGAGAGGAAGAGGAGATAGACAACTCTCAGCCAACTCTCCTCCTGTTTCCACCTTGGCCTGTAGGAGAGAGGGCACTTTTGCTGCTCCCATACCCTCTGTCTATCCTTCTGACTAGCTTCTTTCTGAGGGAGGAAGAATTCCACAAATGCTCAAAGCACAGGGCAATTACCAAACCACATTTAATGAGAGGATGGAGTCTCTAAGCTGGTGTTCCCTCATCTGCAATTACACTCCCCTGTTCCAGTGTCTATTTCAGGGTCTGTCCATTCTCTCTTCTACACGTGGGCTCTGCATCAATTGCCTCTGGTCTGTTCCAAACCTTTCCACCACCCCTGAGTGATGGAAATTGGGAACCCTAGTTCAGCAGGGGAAACTAGCTACAGGCTATCCTTTGTGGTAAGGCTGCCAAGAATTTTCAACAGTGGGCCACTTGATCAGAAACCCATGTGTAAGCAAAATAAAGCTTATCCATATGTCAGTGTTAACATATAGCAAGTTTTGTATTTAAAAAAAAAAAATGACTTCATACAAAAGCACAGTGATAAGCCCAGAGTTTGAACTTGTCTCTCTAGCAAGCAGGTAGGGTGAGAACACTGACCTAGACTACAGTCCTGGATAGTTTGTAACGGAGCGTAGTGGGTGTGACTAGGGGTAAAGGACCGAAGGACCCGGGCAGAGGTGGAAGTGAAGATAACAATCACGGTGAACAGGAGAGAAGGGCTAGTCACGTAAGAGAGGAAGAGGAGATAGACAACTCTCAGCCAACTCTCCTCCTGTTTCCACCTTGGCCTGTAGGAGAGAGGGCACTTTTGCTGCTCCCATACCCTCTGTCTATCCTTCTGACTAGCTTCTTTCTGAGGGAGGAAGAATTCCACAAATGCTCAAAGCACAGGGCAATTACCAAACCACATTTAATGAGAGGATGGAGTCTCTAAGCTGGTGTTCCCTCATTTGCAATTACACTCCCCTATTCCAGTGTCTATTTCAGGGTCTGTCCATTCTCTCTTCTACACGTGGGCTCTGCATCAATTGCCTCTGGTCTGTTCCAAACCTTTCCACCACCCCTGAGTGATGGAAAGGATGGAAGCTTCTTTAGGATTCTAGGCCTAAGCAGCATAATCTGATTGGGCTTGACAAAGATCTCTGTACTGGGAGACAACTGGGTGCCTATCAGGTCATAAAGGTTATTTTGGGACTTTCCTGGTACTCCAGTGGTTAAGGACCACTGTGGTTAAGGACTCCACTGCAGCGGAGTGCAGGCTCAATCCCTGGTCAGGGAACTAAGTTCCCACATGCCATGCAGCATGGCCCAAAAAGTGTTATTTTATTTTACATTTGGTTATTGTTCTCATGGGCATATTCCTCAATTAGGAATTCCTGAAGAGGTTTGAGTGGTAGGATTTCAGCCCTTAAACTGTAACTGACATTTCCATAATTAATCCTCAAGAAAGTCCCCACCCAAGTGGGGCCCAAAAAAAGCAAAATAGTACCTGCGACAAAAGAACTACAACGAGGGTCAAGGTGACAGGGTAAATAAAGTGGAAAGAGACATGTTTATATATAACCGAATCATTTTGCTGTATAACTGAAACTAACACAACATTGTTAATCAACTATACTCCAACACAAAATAAAATAAAAAGTAATTTAACGGGGGCCGGGGGTAGGGAAAGAAAATGGAAACAGGCTCCTTTGAGCTTCATCTGTGGGTAGAGA